ATGCTTATGTTCCTGCTTCCATTTGAAAACTTCCTTCCTCCATAGATGATTACTTTTTTTAACTATTCATTTACAGAGCTGCTTGAGCTCACGTGAAATACTAGGTATCTCATACATGTAGAGAAATTCTATAAGATATGCCTTGAAAAAAAAGCCAAGATAATTCAAGAATTAACAGCCGTACTTCTTCGATAATAAGACATGCCCTTTTTTCCGTACATTCACCGTCAATTAAAGCATACTTAATTTTTTGAGTAACATATATATGTAAGATTTTTTCTTTATTTGCATATGACAATCGCTATGCAAAAAGCTCTTCATTGAGACACTTATATTTGAAAAAAGTCTTACATTCGATGGAAATATGAAGTATAAATAAACATAACAAATTTTATGTTCGTTCAGAGGTATACATTAAAGAGTTTAATTCAAAATAAAAGGATTTATTTATGGTAATATATTTATCCAATCAAACAATGTCTCCAACTGCAACATTTTTCGAAAACATTGAGATTTCGAAATGTTTCTTTCCTGCATGATTACATATATATGTACAAAAAAGTGATTCAATACATTTTGTACTATATTGCACACAAAGGAGAAAATTGCTCTAGTACAAAATGACTGATTTCCTTTAATGGAATTAAGTTTTTTAGTTGTTCTTCATGAGAAAGAGACAAAAGTTTAAAAATTTAAATAAAATATCAAGCGTAATAATTTACTTTTCTCTTAATATAATAAGCACATAGCATTTGATAATTTGCTACGAAATAAGAATCTCTCCTGGTCTCATTTCTTTTTCACCGTTCACTAGCTTCCTATAATTTACTTTAAAATAACTGAGAGCTAATACTACATTTGCTTAACATTTATGTTTTTCTCTATTCAGTGAAGTGAAATTAAACATTCGAAGTCATGAACCATGAAGGCACTTTTATCAGATAAAGTTAAACGTAAAAAGAAAAGAAAATGGTGATAGAAATGTTTTCAAAACACAGAGATTAGTATTATACATTTTATCCTTTGTTTTTCCTGTCAGGTTTATAAACTTTCCAGATTTTCTTTTCATTTCATCATTATCTGCAGTTAGTCTTTTGACATTTTGCGCGCTATAGTTTACTTTTAGGTAAAATAGCTCTTATTGTCCTTGAATGGTGTGAATCATTACGAAAAATTTTAAAACAGGGCTAAGCTTCGTTCGTTTTCCTTCCGAAATCACTGAAATATACTGCAATGAACTTAGGGTACACTTTAACAGTTATACAAAATATTATTAATTTATAAACGCATTCATGGCATATGTCAAAATGGTTACAGCCGAAAACATCGCGGCAAAAACATCGCGAACGAAAACGTCGCGGAGAAAACAACGCAAGGCAAAAACGTCGTGCTACAAAACATCGTGGGAGTAAACATCGCAAAGAGAAAACATCGCAGTTCTAAAACATCGCGGTACAAAACATCGTCGTCGAAAATAAAGCGGTTCAAAAACTTCGCAGTTTAAAAACATCGTCGTCGAAAATATCGTGGTAAAAAATAAAGTATCTACAAATCATCGCATGACGATAACATCGCAGACATGCTTCTTTCAGGCTTTAATAACTGTAAATGGATATTCCCATATTGATTTGTGATCGCAAGAGGAAAAGAAGGATAATTTTTACTTTAATACTTTTTATTAACTAATAATTTTTTGCTGAGAAAATAAGAATGAAACTTAAGCATAGAAAATTAATGCAACTTATAGCACTTAATAGAATTTTAAACCGACATAGTTAACTAACAAAGGCCATTAATAAATCATTTTTATAAAGTTTTTACTGGTAAGTTTTCATGAAAAGTATAATCTATAATTTGCATTTAATTTTTATGCTTAAGTTTAACTTCTTACTTTTTCAGCAAAAATTTATTAGTTAATAAAAAATGTGAAAGTAAAAATTATCCTTCTTTACATACTGCGCTCACAAATCATTATGGGAATATCCATTTACAATTATTAAAACCTGAAAAAAGCATGTCTGCGAAGTTATCGTCATGCGATGATTTGTAGATACTTTATTTTTTTACCACGATATTTTCGACGACGATGTTTTTAACTGCGAAGTTTTTGAACCGCTTTATTTTCGATGACGATGTTTTGTACCACGATGTTTTAGAACTGCGATGTTTTCTCTTTGCGATGTTTTCTCCCAAGATGTTTTGTAGCACGACGTTTTTGCCTTGCGTTGTTTTCTCCGCGACGTTTTCGTCCGTGATGTTATCGGCGGACACCGTCAAAATATATCATGTGGACTGAAAAACTGCATTTTTCCTCAGTTGGAGTGATGCAAAATATTAATTTCATGATGTAATAATAGTCGAATTCTATAAATTTTTCTTAATAATAATTCTTTCAGTACTACCTTTTATATGCTATGAAGCGAGCACATAGGCACATGTTGCCCTTTGCTTGTGATCTTTAATACTTAACCGATTTTTCGCTAAATTTCTAAACGTATAAGTACTCACATCTTGTGCAAATATATTAGATTAATTAAATGTAATACAAGTGATCGCATTTATTTTAAGACGTGTTGAAATCAAGCCAGAAACTCTGCATTTGAAAACATATTCAGGATGGTAAATTATGCTAAAATCCAAACTAAATTGTTGGTTGCTAAAAAGAAATTCAATTCTTAAAATGTGTAGCACATAAATTCTTCACATATTTACCATCCCACTGAACTAACTTTACGACGATTATCAGAAAGTTAGTGAGTCAAGTATTTCGAAGAGTAAGAAGATTGTTTGCAAGATTACTATTTCTTGCAATATAAAAATGCATCTCATGTTACATGGTACAAATAAGATAATTACATGGTACAAATAAGATTTTAATTGTTTGCAAGATTACTATTTCTTGCAATATAAAAATGCATCTCATGTTACATGGTACAAATAAGATAATTAACCTTATGTTACATTCAACTATGTTATCTGCTGATTTTTGCCTTTGGAACCTTTATGTGGGTAAAATAACTATGTGCTATAGTTTTCGACGATTTTAAATCACCAGATTTTACCATCTCTGATTTTTTACCGTCCAGCTGCTGGGAAAGAAAGGTCTGCTTGCCATTCCACATTCTAAGAAATTCAGAAGAAATGTTCTGCAATAATGCATTCCATAACGTGAAAGTAGCTGGATCGTGAATAACATGAAACTGAATATCGTTTAAGTTCCCGACAATTTTCGAAACGTGCACATGTAGATTTACGTAAGAGGTTTTCATCCTACATCTATGAGATGATACAGACCGTGGAGAATAAAGAAACAACTATATAACCACGTAACTTAAATGATTTTGCAGCTAAGAACCTAGAAGCTGCAAACGATCTTTATTTAGTCATGCCTGACATCGCTTCGTATGTATGTAAATGCAGAAATATGTATTTCTTTAAAATCTAAATTTCAGCAAGAAAATAAGAAAGTAGTGTAAAGTTAGGTAGTAAAACGTTGGCTTTACAACGTCTGGAAGTGCATAAAAATTTTTAACAAGGTGAAGTCTTCCCTAACCAAAATGCAAGCTTTATAGTGATTTTCCATGTTGAACATTACATGGGTCAGAAGTTCATGCAATATGTATTCATTATATGCATTCATGATGTATTCATGATGAATAGCACTTTGAATCTCAAGAGGAATGCTCAAGGCAAGAGCAGGTTTCAATGATGCAAGTTGGTGGCCTAGACCTTATTCAAATCATTTTATAGAGTTATTAAGTGCTCATCTAAACAATTATAAGTATAATAGCTAGAGGAAAGATTTTTCGAAACTCAGATTTAAATTTTCAAGGTTAAGCTAGATTTCGGTATTTAAATACAGGTACAGATGAAAGTATGGGAGACACTAGCCACTTACCATGGATCAACTGGTAGTGCCTCTCCATACTAATTAGCTCTTAAAAAAATCTGAAAGTTTTTAGATTTTATTTTACGCCCAAAGGCGCATTTTTAACGATTTGTTTGTTACCTTTATTTATAAAATATCATGTCCTTCTTAATTAAACCACATAAAACACAATTCAACAGCAATATAACAAAATATTTAAAGCAAATCATATAAGGGATATCTACTTAAAAAAGGAATGCCTTCGCTGAGGACTTTCTAAAGAAATCCAATTCGTATTCACGTTGCGCATGAAAAGAACTACTATCACCAAACATGCAGCGAGCTCTTTCGGCTGGGATCATTGAATGCTAGGTCGAACTGCCAGTATTCTATGGTCTTAACCATTTGGCCACTTGTGGGAACGGATTTCGATTAACAATATTATTAAGTACATTTAGTTTTAAAATAACGGTATAATATATATATTTCCTTAACTCTTAATTTAAAGGAAACGATCAGAGAAAGATCGAATAAGACCTTTAATGGAGAAAATAGTGACAAATAAAATTTACAAAATATGCTTTAATTTCTATGACTTTGGTTTAACATTGCAAAAATTCTAATTAATGTTTAACTGAATTACATAACTCTCTGATAGCAATTTATTTACCCTCTAACCGGCAAAGCTGTATATATACGGCCTAGAATATTTTTGTGATATCTGTAAGAACGGATATATACGTGCATATTAAAAATATGTCAAAGAAAGGCAGTATATTAAAAGTACATAAATTTAAGTATAGAATACCAGGAGAATTTTTCTCATAGTAGGTTTCGGAAATTTGTGCTTTCTTAGCGAAAGCCCTGGCCAATCAGAAGGAGCCTATTTTCTCCCCACGTGGCAAAATTCTTGTTAACTACTGCTATTGCTTAATTTATTTACAAATTAGGAAATACGTATAAAGATATAATAATCCTGTGAGATGAATACATCATTTTACTCCCATGCAGCAGCAAGTCATTTTGAAAGGGAAATAAATTTATTCAATATGTATAATCAAAAATGGAAATGTGTTCGAGAATCTACTTTGGTAATATACTTTTGCTACTTATTAAGCAAACTCTGTTTCAGATATCTGTAACTGTGGTGCAGAAATCTCCGAAAAAAGAAGGGATCACTGTCACAGTATCCCCATCTCCTCGTACAGAAAACAGCCAACTTCACGCAAGACGCCAAGACACACACTCTAAAACTAAACGTCAGTGCGAAAATAATAACAGTCAGCAGGATACTTCCAATAAATTCAAAGAACATAACCGCTGTCATTACTGCAAACTAAAACAATGTCATATACAACACGAAGCGCTCAAAAAATCTTGTTTATGCGATGTGAGAAATGATTGCTTTGAGGAAGTGAACAAAACCTGGAAAGAGGGACATTCATCAAAAGATATTGCTCCGCTTGGTAGAAAAGATGAACTACAGGGTTCAAAGACATGCAAATGCTGTACAGTATCGAAAGTTTCACCTCATGGAGGAATAAAGACTCATACAAGAATGAAACATAAGAGCATCGAAGAGTCTTCATCTGAAGATGAGCCTTCTGGACTTAAAAGTACGAGATTCATATCTTATCCTAACCAGAAAATAGAAAATGAGAAAGAAACTGAAAAGAAAAAATCTGATTCTGAAGTGAGTGGCTTGCGTAATTTAAGAATGCAATTAATTAAGTTGAATAGTTAATTGTGTAAGTAGAAATACCTCTTTACAATACAATTTCCTTATCATTCTTATTAATTATTACGGCAGAAACTTCAGTAATTTAAAAAATTTTTGATTTTAACTTTTTTTTTTTTCATACTCGAAAGAAACCTTGTAAAAATTCAGATCTTAAATCCACATTATTTTCCCAAACATCAAGAAATAAAATATTATAGAAAAAATATGAGGTCAGAAAAGAAAAATCAAAATTAACACTGCACAGTACAAATGAATACAGCACAGTACAAAATCGAAAAAAATAAGTTTAAAAAGCTAAGTTACATTTTTCGTAGCATCTTCAGTAGGTGCGTGTTTCGGTTTGAACAGGCACGTTTTTCTGCTTCTGAATGGCAACGCAAAAATCTGTAGAAACGCACTGATGTAAAGAACACTAAGTAGCAACAGTGAAATTTGAACTATTTTTCAATTTGTTTGATGCAGCTTGAATACTGCGGCTGAGATGTCAAAAAGATTTTAGATTACAATTTGTTTTGGTAGTCTAATAAATTCCTTTTAAACTAGACTGAATGTTGATTTAAACATACACTGTAGAACTTTGTTGTATAGGCCACGCCATTATTGTCTATTGAACAGGGCAGGTGCCACGAAAAATGCAAATTTAGCCTTATTTCTGAGAAATCAAATGAACATTTTAATAAGACCACAATTAACATCTTAATAAATTAATTAAATATTCGAAGTTTCTTGTACAATGTTTAATTTAATTAGTTTTCAAAGTTTCTCCTATATTCTTCTAAATTTACTTCAATGATCAGCATAATATTTCGTTTCAAGTTTATATGAACGTATTAACTTTCAATTTTTTTATTATGTAATTTTATATTAAAAACATTTTGATGCATGCTCTCCATTTAATCATATTAATATTTAAAGCAATGTTAAGGAAATATTGATGTCAGAATTCTCAGACATGATACTTTGCAACATCAAATTACTTATTTTTCATTCTTAGTTTCATTCTAATGTTTAATAGTAATAAGTAATTAGTCTACCACTGATTATCACATACGCCAGTAATTTTTAAATATGTGAGAAAGATGATGTTAATAATATGTGAAGGAAATCATGTCCGGGGAAGAGGAATATGTAGTTGCTGTCAACATACGATTTTTGACACGAATACGAATAGCAAATGAAATACTCTGTTATAAACATAGCAGACAAGTCCAAGACCCCATGCTTTCAGCAAATGATATTTTAATTATCATAATTTATGAAGCTCAATATATAAGTGTCCTTCTATTTAAATATATCCTAATTTATTTTTCATTACATTTGGTTTCTGTAGTGAAATTATTTATATTGTGTTTCAACAGCACAGCTTGTTGAAATAAATAAAAGTCATTCTATGTTATTAAGCTCTTCATGAATCAGAATTTCCTATGCAGGTGTCTGCATAGGTTCTAATATATGAAGAGTTTACATACAATAACCTGTTTTATTCTTCAAATATTACCTTGTGCAGCAAAATTATTGATTAAAAATATAAAAAATTATTTCAGGAATCATCCATATCCACCACACCTACACCTGCGAAACAGCATTCAAGAGCAAAAAGAAATTCAAACAACAGAAAGAAATTCAACAGAGAAACAATCGGAAAACGCGTGGAAATTTTATGCGAGAATATACAGCGCACCGTTAGAAGTAATTTTTGCATCCAGATGCTGATTCTACTGATCATAGTTATAATTGTCGTCTCTGGAATTGGTTGCGGTCGGCGGACTGGATGGTCTTTTCCATGTTTTTATGATTTCTTCCGGCGATATTAGTTTGCTTTAGTTGTAGTTTAGTTCGTATATGTTAATAACACTATTTTGAACCTGTAATATCGTTATTCTTATATCTAGAAGTAGAAATTTTTATAATAAATCTATTTCAATAGCGTTTTTGGTACTTCTTTCTATGGCTCTTTTTAGCTAGCTAACTTAACATTTGTAATGTTATAGAGAGTCAAATAAAATGTTACATGATGAACATCATGGAGAAATCTTGAGTACTGCTAAAGCTTAGAAAATTAAATATGAATCTGATTAAGTAACAAGTATTTCATCTATACGTTTATTCGGTTACTCCCGTACTTCTAAACAGAATAACAGTACAGAGGTGACCGGAAAAATGCCCACAGGAAAAATGCTCACAGAATAATGCTCACAGGAAAAATCCCACACAGAAATACGCCCACATAGAAAAAAGCTCACATGAAAAAATGCTCACTTAGAAATATGCTCACACGGAAAAAAGCTCACATAAATATATGCTCACATGGAAATAAGCCCACTGATAAACATGATTAATCGATTTGAACATCGAACACCTATTTGAATTTTCAAAGAAAACTTATTTAAATTACCAAAACACCTATGGTATATATATATATATATAGATATATATATATATATATATCACAAACTGTATAACTTATGTATAGATTCAGTTGCTGTATAAGATTAACAAATGGGCCCTTTTGAATTAGGAAAAAGAGAGGAGGAAGGAAGAGAAATGAAACAGAATATACAACGAAAAATAATTACAATTTAATTGTTAAAAAAATAAAATAAATAGTAAATATAAGTTACATATTTTATAATATAAGCATTTAGAAGAATAAGCAAATAGAAATAATTATATTATTTCAATTACGTAAAATACCTTGTTATACATAAATCATAAATATATATGTTAATATCTAATTTTACCATCGATTTCATCATAGTTTCTTACATGATTCGCGATTACCAAATGTAAGTTTTCATATCTTCACCTTTTTTTTTACTTCAGTACGCCCTGTACTTAAAATAGCTAATAATAAACGTTGACAGGCTAAGTCTTTTTTCAGTCCGTCAAAGAAAAACCACATACTTGGATGGCTACAATTAAATAATGAATTTAGCGCCTATTTATGAAAGCTTTTGTAACAATTTGTTGTTCTAGGAGATATTTCGAAGGCTGCTTCATAATGATTCCTCACTTCGATTGGAAACTGTGGTCAAAACGGTTTGGGCTCCAAACTTAAATAACTACATTCAAACATCAATTTCTATAGATGCACATAAAAATATGCGAAAATAGAATTAATAAAACAAAAATAAACTATTGGCATTTACAAGGGAAAAAATGTCGTACGGGGGGGCAGTTGTGTAAAATATTACAGTACATGAAAAATTTTACTATAGTTTTCCTTCTTTTATATACCACCCCCGAAAAGGTTAATGTCCAATAACCTTTTCGCATTTGTCAAATAATTTATTTTTTTTTTCAAATGATCAAATAATTTTTCTTTAAAAAATTTAAGTAGGTGTACGATGTTCAAATCTATTAATTATTGATTGCTTAATGTAAGCATATTTCTACGTATTTTACTTATCAGTTGGCTTATTTCCATGTGAGCATATATCTATGTTAGCATTTTTCCGTGTGAGCATATTTCTAAGTGAGCATTTTTCCATGTAAGTTTTTTTTCTATGTGGTCATATTTCTGTGTGGGCTTTTCTCCTGTGAGCATTTATACCTGTGAGCATTATTCCTGTGAGCCATTTTTCCTAGAACCCCGTACAGACTATCAGATGATTTACTGATCAGATGATTTATTGTCTGCCTTCTGACTAAAGATATCAGAATCCATAATAAAAGGTTTAAAATATAAGTTATTCATTAATAATATATTTACTGATGGTTACATGATCTCAAAAGTTTAATAGAATCAAATTTCTGCTAACAGCATGTAATCACAATCTACATTGAAATTAACCCTTTCTCCGTCATCTCCTGTCCGCGAAAATTTCTCCCCAGCGGCTCTCTGATTTTCGCAACTTGTAATGTTGTTTTCTCTGTACATCATATAACTTTCTTAGTGGATTAATGTAAATGAATATTAAGTAAAATATAAGGAAATAAAGCATATTAGAAAATTAATAATAGCTCTTCTTAGTATTTCTAACAGCAGGATAATTTGATAACATCTGATTCAGGTGATCCACTCCTCCGATTTGGTTGTTGTAATCTTTTACAATTATTGGTTATTTTACAGCTCTTTTCCGTACTCCAACAGCAGTCATCGAGTTATTATGGACTGCACTCATCAAACGTATATCCGTCTTGTCTTTCCAATTCACAACCGCATTTTTTCTCTTTCCTGCTGAATAGACGTTGAAGCCATCTCTCACTGTCTTGTATCTTAAGTAAAATGGCGCGAATATTCATAAAACGCGGGGGAAATTCAATTAGAAATAGAATGCCTGATTAGTGCAGCCCTCTAGGAGGTATTAGAATAAACAAAAATAAAAACTTAAACAAGCAAACATTTAGAAAGCGTTTTAAACATTTAAAAGTTTTAAAATGTAGAAGAACGCTTGAAGCATATTACGGCCGCCCTGCAGAAATTTCACATGAACACGCTAGACGCGTTACGGACGACGAAGAGGTTAAACTGATAGCTAAATGCACAATCAGCGTTCCTAACTAAACCTTAGCTGGTCCCTAAGTGTTCGCAAAGCAATATTATTAGCGTAGACTCCAGAGTGCCGGTCAACCTATGCAGCTAAGTGCTTTCTGAAAACTCTCGAACTCTGAATTTATTTATACTTTAACTAATTTGTAGTTTGGTGGAAAATGGCGAAACATAAATGAAAGTATTAAAGTAAAGCCAATATAATAAGGTAAAAACTAAAACTAAACTACATTGAAATTACATTAAACTCAGTGCGTAACAGCCCTAGTGGGCCAATGCCTTCAGTGCCCCGAAATCTGCTTTCTTGACCGTGGACCCCGCGGCGCATAAGCATATGCCCTGAACAAGTGGTCGGCTTGTCGCAGGACCCCCAGTGTTTAGTCCCCAAGCAAACTTGGTACTCATTTTATCGACCCAAAGGATGGAAAATCAAGGGATGAAGGGATGAGTCGACCTTAGCCAGCCCGGGGATCGAATCCCAGACCTGTGGTGCTGCTGTGCGATGCACTAGCCTCCGGGCCTCAAAATAATAAGCTAGATAAGTTATAAAATACGAAACCTTATACAGTGCGAAAGAAATGCTTAGAGATATTTTGTAATAGCTTTCTCATATTCCCAGGGTTTTTAATTTACTTTTATTTACAGTTCACGTTTTCCCAAGAATCTTAATTTTTTCTTCTGTTTTATCAGATTTATTTTGATTACATACATGAACAGACATTGTGTATTTACATACACAATAAAAATACCTTGATATAATGAATTATCTCATTCCTCTATGAGTACTCTTGTGATAAAGTGGTTAGAGTTCCTGCTGCATCTTACTGGAAGATCAGTGGTAAATCAAATAGAGATTTGTAAACACACAATTAGTGAGTGAGAATTTCTTTAAAAAAATGCAATTAACAAGAAAATTTTAAAGTATTTTTAAAAAAGTATTTAAAAAGTTTAAGTATTTTAAAAATAAATAAATGTATCATAAGTCGAATTCTTCTTTACACTAACATTTAAGCAGGTTAAATTGTAAGAAGTTACACAATTTCTTCCGTGCTTGCCTTTGTCATCTGTTAGTTAGCACATTAAGCGTAAGATCGGGAAAATCAGTGATTCCATCTCTGAAGATAGTAGGTTCTCACATTTTCCTGTTTAAAAAAACCCAGTACTCTGTACTATAGCGTCCGAAGTAAAAACACAGTAAATGATACCTTGTCGAAGATTCAGCGGTTAATACATTCAGCAAGAGATGGCAGATAAATAATTTGGAACTTAGCAAAAGCTATGGTTGATTTTTTCTTATTTTCCATTAGTAACTTTTAGAAGATTATTAATTACAGAAAGTCTCTCGCAGTACATTTTCATTAGAAGGCATATCTTCAAAGAAAGCTTTCTAAAAAATTCTAGCTTGTGTGCGAACTACACTTAGAGTAAATGGCAAAAATCCCATGTCAACTCTTGCATTAGCCAATTAGAAACCTAAAACAGTCTACCAGTGATGAGTGTTTCGTCCATTCGACCTTTACGAGATTCATCTGAGCATGCATTTTATGAAACAATTCTAAAAATGGGCCATAATATGTGTTATGTAATTCTAATAAAAAAATGAAAGATTTTGGCTTCTCTTGACAAAGGTCTAGACTAATATATGCTTCACTGTAAAATTTATCACCAGATTTTTATCATTAGTATTTCGTACAAACATTATCATCTGCAGAAATATTTTGAACTTTTATGTTTCTTTGAGTGGCAACTGTGTTTACAACGCTTTCAATCCGCCATGATATATACTAGCTTGTAATGCTGTCTGCACATAAATCATTTTTCATCGCATAATGATGTATTATTTTTATTTCAAAGCAGTAAACATTAAACATTAGTGAGATATTATGAACTTCCACAGACGCAAAAACTGAACTTCTTTTAATGGAGACGGAACTTTGCAGCTTATTGAGACAGTCCCGTTTTGCCATACATTTGCTTGGCACCCGTGGGGCGTTTGCTGTGGCTAGAGGGTGAACACACGGAACAGCTTCAGTACATCCCACCTTCAAAATTTGGCGAATTTTTTTGGCGCCAAAGCACGTTAAATACCGTGTTTTGAAAAATGGTTACCATTAAGATTTCCGATGAAACTGCGTGTTTCAGAAATGGCTACCATCTTGCTTTTACCAGAAATCATGGATGATAAAAATAAGTTTACGACTATTATACACGATTTTAAAAGAAAAAATGAAAAGGAATTATTAATGAAAATGATTAAGGTTAAAAGATGTAAGATTTTTTAAAAACAATGCCGAAAGTCTTTAGATATTTCGCCCTTAGCAAATAATTATGTAATTATTAATTAATGGCTCTAGTGTACATTTGGGTGGCCCTTCGATTTGGCGACAAATTTTATTCAGTTTTTAGTTCAGTTTTCAGTTTTATTCAGTTC